TTTCTCAAATAAGGTTCCCACAAAGAAGTGGGAAGAAATGCTGTTGTCTCAGGAAGATATTCTCACTCCAGTACTTTTAGGGTTCTACTCTTTGAAATAAGAGTCTATTTTCAGTCTTTGCTGACTGACAGCAACAGTGGGGAGTGTGTGTCCGGGGTCCGAGGTCTGGTCTGGGCCTGGCAGACACTGCCCTGCAGGTGGACCTCAGCACACACTGAAGTTCATCCTGCAGGCACAGGCCACTGGGGGTTCCAAGGTTTGTTAGTTTGCATAGGACTCTGTGGAGTCTGTATTCAGGGCCCCACCCCTACCGTTTTGTGTAGAGAGGAGTCAGCCATGAACCACTGTGGATTCACGGCTGGCACAGAAATACACAGATGTCTGAGAGGAGGTTGCTGAGTCCAGTGTGAGGGCAAAGTTCTCTGTATTTGATCTAGTGACACTGTACCCATCAGAGACCGCTCCTTTTTCAATGCTGCCAACACCATATGAGTACTGGATCAGACTCAGCCCATGGCCCAGGTCTTGGCGATACCAGTACATAACGGTTTGGTTATCTGTCTGGTGACACCTGAGAGTCACCTTCTTTTCTTTCCCTGTGACCTTGTATATTGGGCTCTAGGTGATTCAGGCATCCAGGTGTCCTGTAAAGAGAAAGCCACAGGCATGATGCTGTCATCCTAAGATGAAGGCTTTTGACTTGGGAATCTAGTGCAGGTAGCCCCCCTGTACTCACCTACCCACAGGAGACAAAGAGCCACCCAGAAGAAGAGCCTGGTGACCATTTCAGATCCAGGGCAGAATCTCATGTCTTTCTGTTCTGTTTTGAGGAAATAGACTCAGTGATGTCACTGTCCTTGACAAATGCTTTTCCTGCAGAACTAATCTGCCACACCCCTTCCCCACTGGAACAAATCAATGACCCTCTCAGTCACAGGAACCACCTGAGGTCCAGGAAGTTTTCAAAGCTTCAAGGTCAGGGTCATTGGAATCTGAAGACTTGTTTTGCTTTGTCTCAAAATTCACTGACTGATGGGAGCCCTGTCTTCCATGTTCAGATCCCTGTAGTCTTCCTTGGTTTCAGCTGAGGCCACAGAAAACTGTTTCACCTAAGTCCCCATGACAGTGCTTTTTGTTAAAGAGAGAGTAGGCTTGTTAGCCAGGTGAATGAGATATTCAGCCAGAGGTACACATTTCTGATGCTTGAAGAATCACAAGAAAATGTTCTGTTTCCATTCAGAGGTCTTGCACACACCCCCCTCCCTTCCCTGCAACAGTATGGGAGAATATTGATTAAATCCTAAATGAGCTACAGTGCCACGCTTGCAACTAGTCAATATCAGTTGGAGCTGCCATTGCTTATACAGGTTATATCTCAGGGTGAGGTGTCCCCATTTCTATGACTGCATATATTGATGTCATCTCGATGGGCAACTATAATCACACAACAGTGAGAAAGGACAAGGAATCAGAAATCAGAGGCAAGGAGGAGGTTGATGGCCATTGCATAGAAAGGCTGGCAGCTTGGTGCCTGTCCAACCCAGGAAAGGCCTTTATATCTTGTCCAGAACTTATCTGGTCCCCGGGGAACAAGAGCCACACAGCAAAGGAGCCGCATACCAGGCTGGAGCAGTGCAAAATAGAGAGTTTTCACTAGGACTCACATTGTTTGGGTTAGAGTACATGGGTTCCCAGAGATCTGAGGACTGTTCTCACAATCAGATATCATCTATCCATATTGTTAGTATTCTCAATAATACACTAATTACTTTAGTAAAATACGCATTTACCAGGAATAGCTCCTTTGTAATTTTCCTATAAATTAATGAATTAGAGTCATAAATGTGATGTTCAATAAAAAATGTATGTCATCAGAAAGCTTTTTTCTGGTTCTTTGTTTTTGCATAGGTGTCTCCCAAGCTCCTAGATAATGCCTCTATATGGTAAATAGTGAAGGCAGAATGGGCCATGCAGGCAATGAAGAATAATTTCAGGCCTTCTCATTTGCACAGAAACTGTCCAAGATTTCTAAATATTTTCTTGTTTTCTTTTTAGAAAAGCACCATAATTATAAGCATACATTTCCACCAAGCCCAAATGACTCTTTACCTGAATTCAATTAGGGTTTGTTGAATGAAAGGAATGAATGGTTATTGGAGTCCAGGCAGACTCAACTTCTGTAAATATAACTCAGTCTAGTCAGTCACAAATAGAACCTATTTCAGAGCTTGAAAGGAGCAGAGACCCATGCGAGTCTGTTGGGAATTTTAAATAAACCAAAGTGAACTGGGAAAAATCTATTTATACCTGTTGTTATAAAACTTTATTTTTTATGTACTTTATTGATTTTTTATTTTTATAAGACTTTTTGAATGATTGGATGGCAGAATGAATGAAACAAAAATGGCAGTTCCTCTTCCAAAGAGAAGAGACTTCTGATGGTCATTTCCATCTATCACTGTCACTGTTTAGGCTGCCCCTAGAGACCCATCTGAGATGAGGATTTAGGTGCAAGTAGTTTATTTTGGAAATGATCTCAGGAAGCAGGAGAAAGAGAGCAGGGAGGAAAGGTCATGAAAGGAGAAAATCAGAATAAGGTGCAATACTGCGGTTGTGCTGGGACACCAGGAGATGGATTTTGTTGAAATCTGCAGAGAAGCACACAGACCACCTCCTGAGTTGGCCTCCTGGACACAGAGGCTGAGCTTTCATCCCTGGCTCCTCTCCCTCCAGGAGCATTAGCACTTCTGCAGCTTTGGCTGTGCAGGCCACGTGGGCTTCCATTATAGAGAGGAGGCCAGAGCAGAAAGCAGAGGGACTCCCAGCTGGCAGGTGAAGGGGTGCTGTCAGAACCAGGTAAATGCACACAATCTTGCATGTAATTCTCCACTGCAGCTGAGGCTGATACCAGAGGTGGGCCGGGGATGGATGACGGCACTAGAGGCTCCACTATGATGGCCCCTCTTCACACAAAACTGTCCCTTTATCAGCTCTTCTGTGTGATCACCAGTCACTCAGAAGCCACAACTTTCTGGAAGCACCACACCTTCTTGTACATCAGACTTAACATCAAACAGGAAATGCTGTCCTGTGTCACCTTTTCATTTTCCCTTAAGAGCACCTCTCAGTAGGTAATTTTACCCAATAAATTATTAGGCAACAGGGTTTGCATTTCAGAGGAATTTCTTTCTGAGCCATAGATGAGTCAGGCAAAAGTAACCCCTGCCTGCCTTTGATCCCAGAGCTGCACATCGCAAAAAATTTTCTACACTGGAGATTTGTCACAGAGTTTATAGAGAACAAAGATTACTTGAGTCTATATTTTTTATTAAGCACTTTGTTATATTTGCTTGTTTTAAATATCTACAAGACACGCATTATTGTCCCCAGTTTACAAATGTAAAAACTCAGGCAAATAGTTTCTGAGTCATCATCCTGAGGCAGGTCAGAATATGAACAGACAGGTTCCCAAAGCTGGATCTCTTTCTTCTTTAGCATGTCACCTTCCAAGTGAAGCTGTTATGCAAATGATTTGTGTCAGAGCCAGAGTTTCTGAAAGGGATCTTTGGGTTCATGTTCTCATTTTGAAGATGCCTCCCTCTACCAAGAGCAGAAGGGTGGGGTGATTTAAAGCATGGGTGGAAGGCAGTATGGCCCATGTTTGAGTCCCAGTTCTGATATTTGTTAGCTGTGCCCCTTTAGCAAAGTATCCAAACTCTAACAATCAGTGTTTTCACCTGTACCCTGGGTAATTTGTGCTACCTCACAGAAAATGAGCAATAAATAAGGTGACTGGAGTAAATGCACAAAATAAGTAGCATTAAAGTCGTCTGCATTCATCAATAAACTTGTACCCCAGTCTGTAAAAGTCTACACCATTCAATTAATAGCACTGATGCTTAGCTGTTTTCTGCAGTTCCTGACCTGGGCAGATCTAGTGATTTCAGATTATCTGCTTGAAAATGCTGAGTGTGAGGGCAAGCTGAGACCTTCCTTCATACACTGTCGGTTTAGAAACACTGATTCCCTGTAGTAACTCCCAGAATTCTCTTGAAATTCCTGGACAGATTCTGTTTTCTTGGTGAAGCTTCTGGAAAACACCCTAGTCACTTAGCTCCTCTTTAGAGGGACATCATGGCCTCCCTCTATGTGAACTAGGACAGGACAGATTCATATTCTCTGGTTTGAAGTACTATCCTATATAATAAAAGCCTGATATGCAAATCGACCAAACATTGGAACAACTGATGAAACACCCGGTCACTATGATGCGCACTGACCACCAGGGGGCAGATGCTCAATGCAGGAGCTGCCCCTAGCCTGCAGGCCCAGGCCAGCCAAGGCGGGTGCCAGGCTCCTCCCCGCACCAACTGCCCTGGCAGTCACCCCACAGATCGGCCCTGATCACTGGCCAGGCCTAGGGACCCTACCCATGCATGAATTTCATGCACTGTGCCTCTAGTGTCTTATAAATTGCCAGGCAATCAGCTGTGCAACCACACATGAGGTGTGACCTCTCCATCCCAGCTCTGATGCTCTTGAGGGGAGAGACAGGGCTCAGTTATATTCTATGAACCAGGCATAGGCAGCACCATAGAATTCTGGGGGAATGTTGACTTCTGAGGCCTGGAGATGTAGGGTTGTCATTTATGATAAATTTGGGATATCCAGGAGCTACAGCTTCCTGTTTGTAAAACGGTATACTGAGCACTTCCTCCTCTGTAAAGTGAACACACAATGTCGACTGTGCATTAGCACACACAACTTGGACCCCACTCTATCAAAGCAGGAGTTCCTGCCATGTGCTAGGAATTGCCAGGTCCTGGCAGAGCTGGGAGGACACTCAGGAAAGCTCTGGCTAAGCTCAGCAGGGCAGGGGGAGTTTTAGAAAATAACTTAACTCTGGAACTTGCTAAGGCCCCCACCCTCTCCTGTGACATCCTCAGCTGGGGCAGGGAGGTTTGAGTACAGAAAGCCATTGACCCTGCAGGGCTGTGTCTAAGCTGCTGGCACAGAGATACACCGCTGAGTCTCCCAGCTGCAAGGCGCTCATGGCCAGCTCAGAGCTGTAGTCACTGAACTGTTTTGCTGAGAACCGATCTGGGATGTTTCCTTTCTGTTCCTCCTCCTTTTCATACAAACTAATGAGGAACTGGGGGCCATGTCCCAGAGTCTGCTGGTACCAGTACACACTTCTGTGTCCAGAGATGGGCTGGCATTTCAGAATGGCCTTCCCCCCACGACCTTTGATTATGTGTCTTGGGGACTGGGTGATTCCAGCAGCCACTGTACCTGTGGAAGAAGGAGACAGAAGCTGTAGACCAGCACAAGAAGCAGATGGACAGGCCAGCAACAGTAAAGAACTTTGGATTCAAGGGGTGTCCACCTGAACTCAGGACTCACCTGCCCTCAGAAGACAGAGGGCCATGTAGTAGAGGAGCCAGGGGCCACTGGAAGACTTGGATAGGAAAAGACTGGCCATCTCCCCGCTCTGGGCTCTGGTGTTTGGGGTGAGAGATCAGAGGCTTTTGCACTTTCCTTTGCTTTGTTTGGAGGGCTTGCCTGTGATGTCACTGTTCTGATGTCACTGTCCTTGTAGACTTTCACGGGCAATCTGCACTTCCTGGACAGGCTCAACTGGTCCAGGCATTCCCCTTTCTGTCCATCTTCCTATGAGCCGATGCTACTGGCTGTGCTGAGCTGGATGAAGCACGGTTTGTGACAGGTGATGATTGCTTCTCTGTTTTCCTTAAAGCAGGTGCTCTTTGCTCTACACCTGACTTTAATTATCCAGGCTGCCCCACTGAAAGAAGCTCTGTCACACTCTCCAAACTTAGGCTTCAAGAAAGAGCTTAACTCCAGGCAAGGCCATTCACATGGCTCCCTGATGTGACAACACACCTGCATAGCAGTTCACATGAGAAGATATGATCAGCAAACCTCTGAGTCATCAGATAATCTCCCTGATGTAGGGACCAAACCAAGAGGATGTCCCTTAATCCTCCCTGTCCCATAGGGCCCCATCAGCAGCTCACTCTGTGGATCCATAGTGCCCCCAAGTGGCCACTTGTGCAATAACAGTGTTGACACTGCCCAGGCTGGCTGGGTTCTGTCTGAATTAGGAGTCGGGACCAGCCAGGACAGTGCAAGTTCCTGTTGATGTGATGTTTACCTGTCTCAGCTCACCCTTTGCAGGTGGCACTGAGAAAAGCATAGTGCATTTTTCTAAGAAGGAAATACAAATTCCAAATCTCATCAATGAGTGTTCTGGGGAAGAGGACACCATGCATGCAGCTGCCCTTGGAAGCAGTAGAGAAAACTTGGGGGAAACGTTCTCTCTTTCTCTCTCTCTCTCTCTCTCTCTCTCTCTCTCTTAAAAAATATTTTTATTGATTTCTGAAAGAGGAAGGGAGAGGGAGAGATAGAAACATCAATGATGAGAGAGAATCATTGACTGGCTGCCTCCTGCATGCCCCCTATTGGAGGTCGAGCCCACAACCCCGGTATGTGCCCTTGACCGGATTGAACCTGGGACCCTTCAGTCTGCAGGTCGATGCTCTATCCCCTGAGCCAAACCAGCTAGGGCGAAACGTTATCTTTAACCAAAGGAAATTCCTGGGATGGACTTAAAGTGGGGTTCTTCCAGCCAAAAAAATCTAAGCAGCTGGAAATTAACCCTCTTTGAAGAGGGAGCTGCCTACTTATAGATCTTTCTCTTTTTTTACCACCCTGTTGAACTCAATTGCTTATTTAAAAACAATTGAATTGCATATCTTATAAAATTATTGATTTGTTGGAATTATTTATATCTTGAATACATGACTTTTCATAGATACATGTATATTTTCTTAATATATATTGTTGATCAGGATTTCAAAACTTTTAATAAGCAAAAATATGCTTTTAAAGATATTTCTTGTCCTCTCAAAGTCATCTTTGCCTACTGCAAGGTCATGAAGAAAATTTGCTCTGTTTTCTTTTAGAACCTTTATAGATCATTGAGAATGTTGACCCATCTCATATTTATTCATTTTTGTTTATGGCAAGATTAGCAAACTTTTGCTGTAAAGGGTCAGATGGTAAAGATTTTGGCTTTCTGTCCCAGCTCCCCAGCTCTGCCCCTGCAGTGTCAAAGAGCCAGAGACACTGCACTCACAGTGAGCATGGCTGTGCTCCAATAAAACTGGTGTATGGATACTGAAATCTGAATTTCATATAATTTCCTATGTCGCAGATATTATTTATTTATATTTTTTCAACCACATACGTAAACATCATTGGTTAGCTTCTGTGCCATATAAGAACAAGCAGGCAGATGTTGCCCACTCCTGGTTTATGGAGTCGGGTAAGAATTGAGTTTCATTATTTTCAATATAGATATGCTTTTTACAGCACCAGTGTTGAAATGACTATTTCTCCCCTTTTGGTGCTACTTGACATGTTTGATCTAGGAATCAGAACCTGCATCTTTAATTTATCATAGTCTACTTACAAAAATGTCTATCAACCAAAGATTTTTTTCACAAATGCCTTTGATTAGGGAAAG